TTAATCAGAAATTAAAAATAAAATTTGCTGAATTAAATTTAATCAGAAATTAAAAATAAAATCTACTGAATTAAATTTATTCAGAAATTAAAAATAAAATCTACTGAATTAAATTTAATCAGACATTAAAAATAAAATTAGCTGAATTAAATTTAATCAGAAATTAAAAATAAAATTTGCTAAGTTAAATTTAATCAGAAATTAAAAATAAAATTTTCTAAGTTAAATTTAATCAGAAATTAAAAATAAAATTTTCTGAATTAAATTTAGTCAGAAATTAAAAATAAAATCAGCTGAATTAAATTTAATCAGAAATTAAAAATAAAATTTGCTAAATTAAATATAATCAGAAATTAAAAATAAAATTTGCTGAATTAAATTTAATAAAAAATTAAAAATAAAATTCTGTTGCATAAACTAAAAAGAGAGAAGACAGATGATGAGCGGAGGGAAGCGCGTCGGAGCTGGAGGCACGTTAGAGCTGGAGTTCGTCGCAGAACTGGAGGACTGCGTGTCCACGATCGTCCTCAAGAGAGAAGAAACAATCGTCCGAGAGAGAGAGAGGAGAGGGAGTGCAAGAACTGAGAAACCAAGTGGTTCTGCGAGAGGGAGAGGGGAGCATTAGGGCAAGTCCCTCATGTAACTCTACATATAAATAATCCCCTTTTTCCCTGTACCTGGATAAACAGTAGCTGAAATTAAAATAGAAATCTCCTTGGTCTCCTCCTCTGAGTGCCTCTCGATCTTCAGAGTGTAGAAGGAAAGAAGAAAGCAAGGAAGAAAAAAAGAGAGAAGTGAAAAGTGTGCTTTTAGAAGTGGCAGAGTGCTCTATTTATAGGATCAAATGTCTCCAGAACGGCCTATTCCAAATCCAGAACGGCCCGTTCTGGACCCTTAAAACATGAGTAAAAATCACATCTAGAACGGCCCGTTCTCAAACCAGAACGGCCCGTTCTGGGTTTGCATTAAAAACTCTCAACGAACAAAATTTGGAACGACCCGTTCTGAAACCAGAACGGCCCGTTCTCAATAAGGTTTAAAGGCCATTTCTGAAATCCGGAATGGCCCGTTCCAGTTAGGAACGGCCCATTCCCAACTAAGAATCATAGTCAAATTAAATAGTTTGGAACGGCCCGTTCCAATTTCGGAATGGCCCGTTCCGGGCTACCAAACCACCTTAATTGGGCTCTTGGCCTAGTGAAAATTGGGCTGTTACAAATTCATTATGAGCATTTGAAAGTTGAAGAATTATTAATAAAATTTATAGTAATTTCTTTAATTTTTTTGTAAAAAATATTCTTGCAAAATTTCTTGCGAAAAAATTCGTAGGAAACTTTCCTGCGAATTTTTTTGCAAGAAAATTTGTAAGAAAATTTCTTGCGGATTTTTGTAAGAAAATTTCTTGCGAATTTTAAAATTCGCAAAAGTATATTATCCACGAAGGTATTACCTGTAGATAAAATTTCATAGAAAAATTTGTAGGAATGTTTCCTGCGAATTTTTATGAAAAATTCGAAGGAAAAGTCGCATGTAATAAGAGAAATTCTAATAGTGTCACTTAATAGCAGAGAATACTTTCCATTTCAGATGTACTTTAATCGCAAATTTTTTACGTCGCATGCCTAGCCTTTTAGGCAACTAATCTTCAGGTTTAAAAAGAACCAAAGTTTTTTTTTCTCTTCTAAATTTGCTTTATCTGTACATATATTACCCTTCCATTTACACACATGATGATCCACATTTCACCATTATTATATATATATATGAGGTGAGGGAAGTTATAATTACACCGGTGTAATTTTTACTAAGTATTACACCGCTTAATAACTTTATATTAATTGTGAATTTTGTAATTCATATCACTTGATACATGTATATCAAATTTTGTTAAAATTGAACAACAACTTGAAGGTAATCAAAGTGTTCATATTTTAGTGTATTTTGAAATGAATATATTACGTCAATTTTGTTTTATAAAAATGAAGTATCAAATCATCTTGAATTAATATAAAATTTTGTATATATGATCTAAGAGATATGAACTTTCAATCTAACGGTTGGATTTACAAAATTCACAATTAATATAAAGTTATTGAGCGGTGTAGTACTTAGTAAAAGTTACACCGATGTAATTATAACCTCTCTCTCTATATATATATATAATATCTGTTTACTTCAAAAACTTTCTTTGTTTAATAACTCATATTTTATATTAAATTTAAATGATCCAATAATTGAATTTAAAGTTATCAGTGCATAAATTAAATTTATAAATTTTTTAAAAATTTGAAAACCATTTAATATTCCATTTCATTAATTCAAATGAATTTGATAATCATAAAATTATTTTATACGTTGATTTGAATTAATAAAGTAAAATATCAAATGATTTTCAAATTTTTTAAAAATTTGTAGACTCGATCTACACATTAAAAACTTTAAATTCAGCGGTTGGATAATTGAAATTTGATGTAGAACATGAGTTATTAAATAAAATAAGTATAGTTAGACTTACTTTTGAAATAAACGGATCTCTCCTCATATTCATTCAATAACTCATTTTTACATTAAATTTCAATTATCCGATTGTTGAAATAAATTTTTTTAATATATATATCAAGTCTATAAATTTTTAAAACATTTAAAAATCATTTGATACTTTGTTATATACATTCAAATCAACGTATAAAATATTTTTGTGATTATCTGTAATTTGAATTAATATAATGAAGTATTAAATAGTTTTTAATTTTCTTAAAAAAATTTGTAGATTTGATCTACAAATTAAAAAAATTTAATTTAACGATTAGATTATTAAAAATTAATGTAGTTATTGAATGTAATAAAGATAATAAAATTTATTCTTGAAGTAAATAGATCATTCCTCATAATAATAATAATAATATTATTATTATTATTAT